ATTAGTCTGAGGAAACCCGGTGGCATGGGTTTGAGTAGTGCTTTATACACCTGAGCACTACCTCAGCACTGGTAAGGATGAAATTAAAAAGCTGCGCTGTAAGAAATAAAGCCTGGAAAAGCCAGGAGTCAGTGCCAGGGATGAAATAACCACAGGGTTCCCATAGCAGTGTCAGTGGGAATTGAGTGCAGTGACTCAGGTGGACAGATTTCAGCTGCTGTATCTTACCAGGACCTGTGAGAGGAACTGCAGCTTCATTCCCCACCTTCCTCCTCATTCTGGCTATGAACATTGCCATGTTCATGCTAGCAAACCACTGGCAAAGACTGAAGAAATAAGCAAGAGCTTTGAAAATACAGGGCATTTCTTCCTTTGATATGACAGTTTATCAATGCAAGAAAGCTGGTTGTGATTTTGATCAAGTGTTCAGTCTGTGTTGGTAAAGACCAAAGAAAAATGGACATAGCTTAATCTCAAAGGTTGATTTTAAATTCAAAAATGATTGTCTCAATTCTCCACAGATTTCTGAGAAGCCTATGGCAGAATTTTATGTTGAGTAATTTTTTGGTTGAAGTTACCAAGACGATAGTTATCCTCAGATAATGATTATTAATTTAAATGAATTTAGATCAGACCTCTCAGTGAACTTTAGGAAATACAGTAAGCTCCCTTTATTTCACTGGGTGATTAATTATTTAGGAAAGAACACAGGTAGCACAAGATGGAAGAATTACTTACCAGTTAAACTCCCTGTTGCAGTCATGTGGATCTAAACTCCATTATACAGGGATTTTTGACAGGAAAAAGAAGAAGGTGAGAGAGGAACCAGTGTGATTTATAGAAAATAAAACAGGTTCACCCATTTCCTAGTTACGGTCATTAACAGTGGTATAATTGTGCATAATCATTGGTCCCATTCCTAGTGTACATTGCTAGAGGGTAACTAAACTTTTCATCTGCATAGAAATTTAGATGCAAATATGAATTGTGTTCACTGGTATGACTAGTGTAAAGTAAACAAAGGGTATTTCTATTGTATATTTAAGGTTGAGAAACCTATTTTGTGAACAGCATGCTATCAGCAAGGACTTCACAGTTATTAAGTAACTGCAAAAGGACATGGTCATGTCAATGAGGGGTAAGGAAAAAGCCATATATAAAGAGCACAGCAGTGTTAGGATATTGATAGGCACTTGTGGTTGTCCCCATCTGGGAAAACTGCAATAATTCTCTCTCAGTATCATGGTTTCTGTGTTTTAAAACAAAACAGAAAGGGTTGTGGAGGGAAGGAAAAAGGATCTGAATGCCAAGCAGTAATGTGAAGATGAAGAATACAGAAAGCTAGAGCAAAATGGATGGTTTAATTTCCCATCATTTTTCTACGGGAGAATTAAATTTGCAAGGTCATGTTGTGGGTTATTCAGTCAGAGACATAACAGTGAAGGTAACTGGATTCAGATGAGTTCCTATCCAAGAGATATTCAAAGCAGTGAGTTCCCTAAATATATGTACAAAACAGTGTTGTCTAGACTCATTTTGCATATTAAATCAAACCTTGAATTCCAGGAGTTAAAGGACCCTTCTTTAGGACCTTAACAAAAAATCTGACCTTAGCACTGAGATCCACCTTCCCAGACTTACTTAATGAGATAACACTGTATTTCATTTGCTATGACTTCCATGTACCTTATTCTTTTGTTTCTGTTTGAAATTCTCCACAATACTTGTAATAGCAGAAGTTTGCTTTATGAAACTGCCATGGCTCACTAGTACATCATCATGGTAGAACAAACACAAAAAGTACTGGTTACCGGAAATCAGGACTGTGCATCTACTGAACATACTAGATAAGGGCTTTCTTTAATTTCTCTATATAAAAAAGCAGTATTTCGGGTGTGTTTGCAATCAAATGTTGGAAAGAAAATTCAGAATGTGGAAGATGAAGGAGAGTTTAATTACTGTAGAAAAGTACTTCTAGGAAAATTTGTGAAAAATCTGTGCTGTAAATTTTTTTCAAGTGTTAATGAATTTTCCCTATTACCCTTACTATTTTTATTTTACTAGTTTTCTTGACCCCTTCAGTGCATGGCAGAGAAAGCTATCATTTTAGATCTTTTAAACTTCTTTAGAAATGTCTGTCAGATGGTTTTGATTGAATTTGTTATTAACAGTTCACAGCCTTAGCTTTAGGAATCCAACTGTGATATGTAAAAGTAGTATCTCAGAATTTTTCTTTTAGCCAAATTCCCAGTTTACAAAGTACTAAATGATTCAGTTCTTTTTTATTTTCCCAAAAAGCCTATCTAGAACTGTTGGTATAAGTGCAGCCTAGACATGAGCAATGTGTACACAACAAGATTTTTATCTTTCAAACCTTAATTCACATTAACCTCAGCATAGGAAGCAGAATTTATGTTACATTAAAATGTTAGGTATGAGGGGAAATTTCCATCAGATTTATTACTCAGTAATAGCTCTTAATATGCCCTTGTATGGTTGA